CATTGTGACATTATAAGAGCTAACAAATTTTAAACACATGGATATAAGGAAGGCTAGAAACAGAAATTCAAGCAGGATTTTTTAAAAATTTTTATTTATTTATGCATACAGAACTGGGGTACAGGCCAGAGTTGCAGGGGCTGTGAGCCTGAGTGGATTCATCAGAGACAGAGTGGGGAGCAGAACAGTCAGATTAACAAAATATACTCCTGAGGAGAGCAGTGGGTGAGACAGGAGAAGTCTGCTGTGCCATGTGGTCACCTCCAGGCCAGGGATTGAACTTGCACTGAGATGGCTGCTCAGAGCTTGCAGTGCTGTATCCTAACCTGTGGCATCACAGGGAGGGCCTCTCTTAAGTTCTTTAGCTGATTGAATGAAGCCACTTAAAACACATGGGTATAGCTTACCTAGCTAAGCTGATATACAAAATTAACTATTGCAGTGGTAAGTTTGAGTGAATGTTATCTAGATAAAATGTTTTCTCTTGGCTGGTTTTAGAGGGTTTAGTTCACAAATAAGACAATAACTGCTTATATTTTTACAAAGCCTTCATAAACTGAATTCCATAAAAGACATTATAATTATCTTTAATTAAAATAAAAGTATTAGGGAAATATGTATATGATATTTTGGCCTAAACATCAAAAGAAGATTCCAGACAACTGAATTATAGTCTATTTTTACTTGTATCAATCTTTGCTATTCATAATGGAATTTCAAGGTATCAAGATAACCTTTGATCATTCTGGAAAATGAAAGACTATAGCTGGTATAAGGATAGAAAGAATAATATGGATTTATAGAAAGCGTTTTTTATATAATAACAGATGAGGTAAATGTTGATACTTTGACAACAGGCCAATGTTTAGTAGAATTATAATAGTATTTTTAAAAAGATTTATTTATTTATGCATACAGAACTGGGGTACAGGCCAGAAGTGCAGGGGTGGTGAGAGGCTTCACCAGAGACAGAGTGGGGAGCAGAACAGGCAGATTATAGAGGTACACTGCTGAGGGGAGCAGCAGGTGGGTCAGGAGAGGGCTGTGCTCCATGTGGGTCACCTCCAGGTCTGGGGATCGAACTCATGCTGAAGTGATTTTAGCTTCTTAGTGCTATGCTTTAACCAGCTGCGCCACCAGGGAGGGCCCAAATTATAATAGAATTTAATACATAGATACACTTGGGTTCTCATATCACTAGGATCTAGTTGATAAAATACAAGATCAAATTACCCTGCCAGAACATACATGTGAATTGTACTCTGACAACTATGTATTAAGGCATTGAAAACAGAAAAGGCGAATATTGGCTAACATAAAAAACATAGATTTCCATTTTATGTTTATGTGGATCGATGTCCATATCTTTCTTTCTGATCCTGCCCACTTCAGTGAGTCCTGGGGGTTATAGTTTCCCCAAAATGAACTGTCCTGTTCAAATGTCTTTCATTAGTTATGAAATGATACATGATACGATGTATACAATTTTCCAATTTATCTTTGGTTTAAATTTTTAGAAGTAGTGTTGCTGGGTCAAAGAAAAAAATTTATATAACTTTGCTAAATATTGCTAAATTTCCCTCCTCAGGTATGTTATCATTTTTGGAATTCTATCAGAAGCAAATTAGTGCTTTTTTTTTTTTACAGCTTCACCAATGAATATGTTGTCAGACTTTTTGTATTTTTGCCAGCATAGTACATGAAAAGTAGATTACTAGTATACTTCTAATTTGTGTTTAACTCATAAAGTATGTGATTGAGCAATCTGGGGGGAATAAAAGATACCTATACTTTCATGTTTATGAATTGTCTATTTTTCTGTAGGATATTTGATGTCTATTTTTGGACACTCATTTATGAGATATGATGTAAATTGGAGGCATTTTTTCCGGTTTGTTATTTGTCTTTCTAGTTTGCTTATGATGTCTTTTGTCATGTAAAAATGTATTTATGTTTCTAAGTTATCTGTTTCCTTTTTTACATTTGGCTTCTGAGTCATAGTCCTGAAAGTTTTCCTCACGCCTAAGTTTTGAACGAATTTACCCATATATTTATTCAGTACTCACATAGTTTCATTTCTTAAATAACTATATCTTACATCCATTTTGGAATTTTTTGTGTTGTATGGTGTGGAGGAAGAATCCAATTTTAACTTTTCCATATGGCGATGCACTTATTCCAATACCACTAAAAAAAAAATCCTTCTTTCCCAATAATCTAAAAGGCTGTTTTCGTCTTTTACTAAATTTTCATATGTAACTGGATCTATTCTGGGATTTTCCATTCTGTCTCATTGCCTTGTCTATTCATGAACCAGCACTATTAATTTTAGAGGACTATGTCTTATAACAACTGTAGTGTCAAAGAAAATAACTGTGATGCCTATTGGGGACAAAGTTACAGGTACTATTCCTATGGACTGATGGCAGCCAAAGTTTCTGGTCTCTGAAGGCTTTATGTTTCTGCTCATTTCTGAGCTGGGACCCCAACCTTGCATGGATACCATGAGCCCCAACATTTTTGCAAAAAGTTAATTTCTGCTTCTGGTAGTTGGTTTCTGTTACTTACACAAAACTTACTGTGGCTTTATGTATATATTTTTCATAGTTAGTTTATCTAAATGTATTTATTTTTAAAGATTTATTTATGTATGCATACAAGAAATGGGTACAGGCCAGAGTTGCAAGGGGGTTAGAGACAGAGACAGAGGTGGAAAGCAGAACAGGCAGATCTACTGAAATACACTGCTGAGGGGAGCAGTGGGTGAGACAGGAGTGGTCTGCTGTGCCGTGTAGGTCAGCTCCCTAGAGGGGTATCAAACTCTTGCTACAGTGGCTGCAGATAGCTTTATAGTGCTGTGCTTTAACCTGTTGTGCCATCAGGGAGGGCCTATTCATCTAAATTTAAAGGAAACCTTTAATAAGAAGAATTTTTGCCAAAATGAAGAAAGTGACATTCTGATAGTCAGGGAGATGGTAAGTATGTGGGAACAGCATGGCAACATTAAACAGATGAGGCCTTGTCTTTCTTTCACAAAATGTGAAGAGAGCTATTCACCTGTATTGCATTTGCTTAAGCTTATTAGGAAAGAAAGGGAAAATTAAGTGGTGACAGCTATGCTTTTAGAAGGAGAGTACCAAGATAATTCAAAATGAGTTTTATGCTAAAAATCTGGGGATCTCATTATTCACTTATATGGCATAATGCATGAAGAACATTATGGCAGACGTCTTTGCTTGCCCAAGGTGAGTATTTTTACTTAACTTCAAGTTTATGACAACCTCTTCAAGTGTTGAAAATCCCTGTGTTGCAGTAATAAAATTGCTCTATCAAATTATATATATATACCTTGATGTTAGAGATTAAAGGTTCTCTAATTATGCAAACTCCTCACATGAATGTCCTCTGTGCCCATGGCTAAGACTCTCTCTCCATCCTGGCTTGCTGAAGTGGGTGTAGGGAGTCTTTGAACTACTGGATAGATGAAAGCAGCCAAGTTTTTTGTTTTGTTTTGTTTTTTTCCCTAAGAACACTGATATTTCTTGGAGGATTAAGAAATCGAAAACATGGTTTTGTATTAAAACACTTTAACATAAGTTATGAAATCCATGGCATATTATAAGACAAAAAAGGTATCAAACAAACCCAATGTTCAACCTTGTGGACTTTGCCCTGGTTATTACCCAAGACTTCATTCTCTTTGTCTTTTAATGGGAGCTTTTAGAAACAAACCTACTGTTTGCTGCCAAAGCTTACAAATTTGATAGACTCAACTTCTCATCACCTTCTCTTAAGTTTAAGCCGCTGTTAGCTGAATTGATTGCTTGTTCTTCCCTTAGAACAAAAGAAGTTGGTTGTTTGATATTTTTTGATGTGATGATCTTACCCCTTTATTATAAGAAGCAGTGGATAATGGCAGTGTTTATTAGATCTGGACAAAAACCCTGGTCTTTTTTACTAACCCCTTGTCTTATATTGTATAATTTTTCCCCTCTGTGCTCCTTGTCTGTAAAGTTAGAAGACTTGAGACTTGTATTAAACCATGTATGTGAATAATGAAATCCCAAATTTTTAGCATAAAAACTCATTTTGAATGATCTCTGTATGCTCCTTCCAAAAGCAAATTTGTAAACACTTAACAGTTAGCATTATTATTGTTGTTATATTATCATTATTGTTAATTTTCAATTGGAAATGGTCCTAAGACACTTTTGACCATGTTGTTACCAGAAAAACATGGCATCAATTAAGGGTAATAACTTTCTTGTGAAAGAAGATGAGCCATTTGTCTTATAGAGTTTCCAAAAGTCTAGTTTCTACTCATTGCATTTCCTGAGAATTTTAACCTTTTATTTTCTCTTTGTTTTGGTCCTTAGTTTTGGGTTCTCAATCAGTCTGGGATTCTAGGACTTTGATAAAATGTATGCCTTCTGATTTGGATATGACTACCTTGGAACTTGATGGTGTCTTTCTATCAAGAGACATAGACTATCTGGTTCTCTCTTTTAAGGATGTTAGTAGCTATTGGTGATCTGGATCCAAACTCATTATGAGTTGCACAATGGTGACATTCTAAGTACTTCACATTCCTTATAAGTATAATCTGAAATATTTCTATAACGTTCCCTTATCTACTCTTTGGTTATCCAGTGCTATTTGCATGCTTTACACATTTCAATTCAATACAAGAACTGATATTTTAACCAGATACTTAAACGTAGCACATTAATGCTTCCAGGGATTTTCAATTTAATACAATTCAACACATTACTTTATGGATGAAGAAACAGGCCCAAAGAGGTTTTCTAATTAGTTTTCTCATTTCTAAAGCTTATTGTAGTTATCAGAGTCCCAACAAGAAACAGGATAATTTGAGGGGGGTTTATTTACAAAAGAGACTAATTTCAAAGGTGTAGATAGAGGGAATAAGGGAACTCAGTGGATAATGCAGATACTTGAGAAACAGCTTCAGAACTGTCATTCCTTCTAGATGCCCAAGGACAAGGTGGGGGGACAGTTCTGAGACACTGGAAGAAAGTGAATCCTGTAGGACCTGCTGCCTTGAGATGAGCCACGACTTCCTATTGAGGAGCAGAGCCAGCCTGAGGTGAGTCATAGCACCCCTACATCTTTCCTCCCTCAGACCCCCTGCCAGGACTCCCCATCTCCCCATTAGCCAAATCCAGTTGGCAGACAGAAAGCATGGAAGCCCACTGATTTTATTCATACAAATCAGTTTCCCAGGACAGAGACTAGGGAATTTCAAATGGCTAGTAGTTTTGGAGGGAAAACTCAGGAACAGGTGAATTCATGTACTTGTTCCTATCCCACCATTCTACCATGAATTCAGATGTTTCCCTATATCTACAATTTATATTGTAGAAATAACCCATGATCCAGATGATGTTTGATGCTTCTGTAGGGAATTTTGTTGAATGACTGAAATTACCTTATCCTATCTGGGGTTTTGAGATTGTTTTTCTGAGTTACTCAGATGTCTGGAGACAGGATTGCTTTCCTTGCAAAGGTTATGTTGATTCTAGCTCATCCTTATGTTTAGGTTATCTCCTCTTTATTTTTGTCCTACAAGGTGTTAAAAATGCAGCTCAGCCTTCCTGCTGTCTAATTCAGATCAGATCCAGAAAAACTGCCAGGCCAAAAGCAGCTCTTGCTGGCAATTCACCCTCTTAATCTTTGTTTTCTCTTTCAGAATCTGGCCAGGTATTCCTCCTTGCCTCACAGTTTTTTTATGCCTAGGTTTTGTCCAGCATTCTTAGTCTTCTTCAAAGAGAGGGCTGATCAGAATTACTGAATCTGTCATAAACAAAAGAAATCTCTCAATATTTCTCCAACTCTTATGGAAAATTTTGTGCTCTAAGGGGTTTCCTACAGTCACTATCTCTAAGTAGAAGTGTAGTGAGCTCTGAATGGCAGCATAATTCTGAATAATAAACTTCAGAGGTTCTGCTACTATGTCTTTTAAGTGTAAATATGTCATGGACACTTTACAATATTATAATTCTATCACTAATGACTGTAATTTAATAATGCCTAAAGGTTCCAGAAAAAACTTGCCATTTGTGTAGCACCTAAATGATAGTTCCTTGGGTTCCTTTTTGATTCCTCAGAAGTTCTTAGTTTTAACAAATATTACGCATATATTTGAGTAACATATCTCGTTTTTTTAGACATCCATGTTCAATTGCATTGTAATGCAATGTTCTCTATGTCAGACTGTGGAATAATGTTCTTTTAGAATACAGTGGCAGAGACATAGTTTTTAATATGAATATGTATACTTCAATGGGTTTTCTTTTTATTTTGAAAGTCAAAACAATACAGCTAAATTTAATGTCAATTGTATAACATCCCAGAGGCTTCTTTCCACTTTTTGGGTTTTCTTACTAATCTCTAGTCATTACACTTACCTGCTTACCTTGTTTCATGTAGCCTGAAATGCTTTTATTTTATATTCTCATTTATCTGAGGATAAAAAGAAAAGAGCAAACCTAGCTCTGAAAGCAAAATTAGCTAGCTAGAAGATCCTCACCTATCTAAGGTTTAAGATCCACCATTTTGCTTGTCAAGAACAAACATGAAAACCCAAAATAGGCAATACTTTTTCTGCTGTCCACCACTACTTTTTCATATTAGAAAAAGGCGTTCTGTCTACAGAGACAAATTGTAAATTCCTCTGGATGATTAAATCAGAAAAAAGGTTTTGGTTCCCAAGATGAGACCTCCAAGAACATCAGTCAGATGGGATTCCATTGGTCCCATGCTTGTGCTCTTTTGCCGGTACACAGTTTCCACATTTAAGTCATAAACTGATCCATCTGAATTTCTGTATATTCAGCAATCAGCCATGGAAATGGAAATGTCACATGCTGAAGACTAGAAGCTTAAACCATACCATGTAGGTAGGGAGAGAGCCTTGGGACAAGAGAAGCACTTTCAGCATTGCTCTGAGTGTGAGTGCCAGTCATCATTAACATTGTTAAAGTTATTACATCCATCCAACCTAAAGCAAGTAGGCAAAGTAAGAGAAAAAAATTGTGTATGAAAAAGACTTTGAAAGGATCTGGAAGGGAAGCAAATATGAAATGGGGGCCTTTCCTGGTGGCGCAGTGGGTTAAAACAGCACTATGAAGCTATCCACAGCCACTGCAGCAAGAGTTCCATACCCCGCTAGGGAGCTGACCCACGTGTCACAGCAGACCTATCCTGTCTTGCCCACTGCTCCCCTCAGCAGTGTATTTCAGTACTTCTGCGTATTCTGCTCTCTACTCTGTCTCTGTTTCTAACCCCCTCACAATCTGGCCTGTACCCAGTTATTGTATGCATGAATGAATAAATCTTTTAAAACTGTGAAATGACCTAAAAAGTTGTGGTTTTGTGAAAATATGTTTATATATAATCTTAGACCTTATTTCTGTAGCGAAGCACCATTGGAGAATTAAGGTGCTCTCATTTTCCAGACGTGGTCCTAATAAATCTCCAGTGTTCACTGATTTGATGAGAATGGGGTGGATGGAAGATTATCTGCTCCCACCGGTTACCTGCTTCTCAGTTGTTGGATTTATCAAAGTTGAATATCAATATTTTGTTTCAGTACGATCAGGGTTTCAAAATACCTACTTTCCTATTGTTATCAAGTCCAAAAGAAGAATATAAAGTTTTCTTAATATAAATTTACTTTTATCATTTTACAAATATTTAGAAAAATCCTATGTCATTTCCCTTCACTCAAGATGCACTTGTGTAGCTATTAGGTGTATTTCCTTCTTTTAACTCTTAACTACTCAAATCTTTCATCTTTCCTTTCCCCAATTTGAAGACAACTGCGTTTATTCTTCAATTTCTTTTTTTCCTGTAGAACTCAGTCTCAGTTCCGGAGGGTGGGAAGTTCAAAACTTTTTTTTTTATTTATTTATTGGTGCATACAGAACTGGGGTACAGGCCAGAGGCTCAGGGATGGTGAGAGGCTTCACCAGAGACAGAGTGGGGAGCAGAACAGGCAGATCGACAAAGTACACTGCTGAGGGGAGCAGCGGGCGGGTCAGGAGAGGTCTGCCGCGCCATGTGGTCACCTGCGGGGCAGGCGGGGATGGAACTCATGCAGAAGTGGCTTTAGCTTCTCAGTGCTGTGTTTTAACCCGCTGTGCCACCAGGGAGGGCCGAGAAGTTCAAAATTTTTTACTGATTCTCCTAACAGCATTCAGGAGGCTTTTAGAACTTACACATCTGTTTTTTTGCTGCTCAAGTAAATACATACTTTTGATTGTTCTTAAGCAATCTAGGCATTCCCCCTTTCCTTGCCCGGTGCGATTTTAAAAACAGAATAATTCACTTAATTTCCTCCTTTGATCTGGCTATGACTGACCAAGTGTGGGGTACAGTCCTAGTTTTTCCACTGCAAGTATTGATGTGCTGGGGGAGGCGGGCACTCGGGTTTAAGACCTTAAAGCACTTGAAGTCAATCAATAACTCATTAATAACAATACAAAGTACTGGATACTTTTAAATGAAAAATATACGGGGCAGACCTATTAAATTTGGCTTACCACTTCCGGAGCGCCCGGTTTAGGCCCCGGCTCCTGAGCGTAATTTAAAAATCTTCCCGCCGCGCGCCACGCGGATCTCCCCAAGCCTCCCTTGCCTGGCCGCGCGCGGCACCCCACTGCGCCGCCGAGCGAAACCAGCAGGGGCCGGAAGGGGGCGCCCTGGCGGCGAAGAACGTGCAGAAGCCTCTCGGGCCGGCTCAGAAGACCCGGGGATTCGCTGGGAAGACTTTTGCGCCATCCCGCCGTCTCGCGCGTGGCGGGCTTTTGCCTACTCCAGGTCCTCGGGGGCGGCAGCGGAGGGCGAGCAGTGGCCGAAAGAGGCCCCGCGCCGCGCTCGGGACTGGGCAGAGGTCCGCGAGCCGCGGCGCGATCGGTTTCGTCCGGACTGGAGCTTCCCAGCAGCGCCCTCCCCCGGGGCGGGCCCTGACTTTCGGTGCCGCGGCGAGTGGGCGGCCAGGAGCCGGTGGCCGCCACGGTGAGACTCGCGAGGCGAGGCTGGCGCTGGGACGCCGCGGCTCCGGCGAGCCGTGGAGCAGCGAGGCCGGGGGAGGAGGAGGAAATCGAGCCGAGGAGCGGGTGCTGCCGCCGAGGGGGAAGCGGATCCTTGGGGCGGCGGCTGCCACGGTTCCCGGACGCGGCCGGGGCGCCCGCCGGCCTGTCAGGTGCCGACCAGTCAGGTGCTGGCCAGGTAGCTCCCCACCCAGAGGGCAGCTTCCCCGACCCCTCCCGGAGCTGCCGGCGCGGAAGGAGTCGGGGCTGCGCGCTGCGCGAACGGGGCGCACCGCACCCCGAGCGCGGCGCCCTTGAGCCACACCGCGGCTCAGGTTCGCGAGTCGACCTGTCGGCCCGCCGAGAAAAGGAAGCGCGGTCCCTTCCCGCTCGCGCCGGCTCCCCACCCCTCGTACTCTCCACCCCGCAGCGGCAAGCGGCGCGGCCACGGAGGCGCCGAGGAAAGGCGAGCCGCCGCCCGGCAGCGGCGTCCCTTCGGGGGAAAGGGCGCCCGAGAGGAGGCGG